TTCTTGATCCTCTTTGGCAGCAAGCTATGGCAGAAGAACTCTATGCTTTGCAAAAGACAGATACGTGGGACATTATCTCTCTTCCTCCGGGAAAACGTGCAATTGGTTCTCGTTGGGTGTATAAAATCAAAACGAAGTCTGGGGTCTGTTGAGCGATATAAAGCTCGTTTGGTTGCTAAGGGACTTTCTCAACAATATGGTCTAGATTATGAAGAAACATTTGCTCCTGTTGCCAAAATGACTACCATTCGTTCTCTTATTGCAGTTGCTTCTATTCATCGATGGCATATTTCTCAAATGGATGTTAAAAATGCATTCTTAAATGGTGATCTTCAAGAGGAAGTTTACATGGTGCCTCCACCAGGTGTCTCTCATAATCATGGTGAAGTTTGTAAATTAAAGAAAGCCCTCTACGGACTTAAACAAGCTCCTAGAGCTTGGTTTGAAAAGTTCTCCATTGTGATTACATCACTTGGCTTTCATTCTAGCTCACATGATACTGCTTTGTTTCTCAAAACCACCTCACATGGTCGTATCATTCTCTCCCTATATGTTGATGATATGATCATCACTAGCGATGATGATAATGGGATTGCAGAATTGAAATTACAATTAGCTCAACAGTTTGAGATGAAAGATTTGGGTACTCTTCGATATTTTTTGGGGATTGAAGTGGCTCATTCCCCTAGAGGTTATCTTCTTTCCCAATCTAAGTATACTGGCACCATCCTTGAACAAGCTCGTCTATCTGATACTCGGACAACTGCTACTCCCCTTGAGCTTAATGCTCATTATTACTCTTCTGATGGCGTTCCTTTGTCCGATCCCACTTTGTATCGTACACTTGTTGGCAGCTTGGTCTATCTTACCATCACTAGACCAGATATTTCTTATGTTGTACATGTTGTCAGTCAGTTTGTCGCTTCTCCTACTACAGTTCATTGGGCAGCAGTTCTTCGCATTCTTCGATATCTTCGGGGTACTCAATTTCAGAGCCTTCTCTTTCCTACATCTTCCTCATTGGAATTATGTGCATACTCTGATGCTGATTGGGGTGGTGATTCCACCAATCGTAAGTCTACCACAGGATTTTGTATTTTTCTAGGAGATTCTCTCATTTCTTGGAAGAGTAAGAAGCAAGAAGTTGTCTCTCGCTCTTCTACCGAAGCTGAGTATCGTGCCATGACATCCACCACTGCAGAAATTGTTTGGTTGCGTTGGTTACTTGCTGATATGGGTGTCTCTTTCTCAAGCCCAACTCCTATGTACTGTGATAACAAAAGTGCTATACAAATTGCCCGCAACTCAGTGTTTCATGAGCGCACCAAACATATTGAGATTGATTGTCATTTCACTCGTCATCATTTTCAGCATGGCACCATCACCTTACCCTATATTTCTTCCTCCATGCAACTTGCTGACGTGTTTACGAAATCGCATTCCACTCAACGTTTTTGTTTTTTGATTAGCAAACTCTCGATGATTCTCCTCGATGCATCGTGAGTTTGAGGGGGGATGTTAAATATAGTTTTGTATTTCTATTTCTCTATCAATTAAGGGTAGTTTAGTCTTTTCCTGATTGTACATATATATATACTCTTGTAATGAGATTTTGGGAATCATTGACAAAACCCTAGCCACCTTTTTGTCTCTCTTGTTTCCTAACAACTACATATCATATGAAACTGTTTTGCAGCCGTGTTAACATACATACCACTTAATTCCTACCACGCATGAAGATATAATATATCTACTTTTGTAATGTTAACAAAAGTGATCATTTTGAAGTGATTTGAAAGGATTGAGTGATTTAACTTATAAAAAAATAGTTTAAGTATTAGGTATGTAAATACATACGTACTGGATGGTGTATATGTAAATGCCCACGGGGATTTACATCCACTGCACTGATTTTACATATGTCACACCAAAAGTTCAAATTTTACACTTTCAGCACCTAAAGGTTCAAAATGAAAACAAAAAATAGCACCCCTCCCTACCTCCGTCTTCCCACCCAACCCCAATAGCTTGCTTCGCTTGCAATCCCATCGGTTTTCTCCGGCGGTGCGATGGGGACACAGCAGGTGAGGCGGTTGTGGCTCAGGTCTAGGAACTCAAGCCGCTTCAGATGGGCAAAGTCAGCTGGAATCGGTCGAGCTCAGCTAGCCGTTCGATCTCGGGCGTGGGATGCCACCCAGGAGATGACTGCCGCTCAGATCTAGAAGCTTCAAACAATAGAGATCCCCAATGGGAGCAGTAACCAATCCTCGCAAGCGACTTCTCCATAAGATGAGCTGCTCAAGATTGCTAAGTTGGCCAATTCCCACGGAATCACGCCGGAGTTTCGTATCAGAGATTTTGAAGAGCCTAAGGTATACTACTCCGGCGACAGAGAAGTTACAGAAGATACTGTGTGAAGCGGCAGGCGAGGCATCATGTAACGTCGTTAATAAGATGTTGTTTGTGTAAAATTTGATGTTTTGGTGTCAAATTTGTAAAATCAAAAAAATCTTCGGATACTTTCACGCGCAGGCGCAATCAATCCCCACCTCTGGGCAGTAAGAGAACACAGAAAAAAACAATACTAGAAAGACTCGTCCCTTGTCTTGGGAGAATTGAGGTAAAATCATGAGACTTACTATTCTTCTCGGAGTTTTCTTGATTCTTCTCTCTAGTCAGAATCTGCAAGCTCAAGCAGCGGACAGTTTCATCAGTACAAATGGATTGCATTTTACGCTTAACGGCAGCCTGTTCTTCTCCAATGGATTTAATGCGTATTGGCTCATGATCGTGGCATCCGATCCGTCTCAGAGGGACAAGGTCTCCACTGCCTTCAAAGAAGCTTCCATCAATGGACTCACTATAGCCAGACCGGGGGCTTTCAATGACGGCGGTAGCAGCGCCTTGCAATACTCTCCCGGATCCTACAATGAACATATGTTCAAGGTTCAAATTTCTGAAGAACCGACGTCTCTTCTATTTTTCCAATGGTTTTATGCCTTTTTAAACTGGCTTACTTTGTTTTTGAATTAGGGCTTGGATTTTGTGATTTCTGAGGCAAGAAGATATGGTATCTGGCTTATTCTTAGTCTCGTGAATAACTATGATAACTTTGGAGGGAAGCCGCAATATGTTCAGTGGGCGAGGAATCAAGGAGAGAGCATTGGATCTGATGATGAGTTCTTTACTAATAATGTTGTTAAAGGTTACTACAAGAATCACGTTAAGGTTCGTAGAACTTCATACGATATTTTTCTATTTGCAGAGGAGCTCTTTATTGAGAAATTTTCCCTTTTATGTTTGGTGGGTGGGGTGATAAATGGCGTGGCCCAACCCCTGTTTAACTATTGCTTTTGAATTTCTAAGGTAGGGGAACCCCGAGGAAAAAAAGGGTACCGATTAAGTAGTCTGACGATATATTGAGAAAATTACAAAACGATAAAAAAAATTGTACACATTTTGCTAAATTTAGAGTTCAGTCCCCATTAAATTCATGAAGTTTTGTATGTTTCATTTGGAATATGATTACATAAAATGAGGTTTTTTGGATTGTAAGATTTACATACATGCCACTCAATTCTTGTGTTTACAGATCTAACATCTAAACATCAATTCTTACTTGCATTCCACCTGATTTATGCACGAAGAGATGTATTTGGGGTTTTTAAAAGTTAATATGATGTTTTTCTTTTCATGTGCCGTGAGAGATTTAGGTGGCGTGTAAAAACTATAGTTATCGGATATGTAAATAGGTGATCAGTATGGGCTGGCATGCACGTAAATGACTCTTTAAGATTTTATAGATTAAGACGGACCCATAGAAGAAAATATAAAACATCATTTATATTTTTATGATATTTCAAGTATTATATCGCAGAAAATTGTAAAAGATTTATTATCGTAATCAGGGATGGAGATTTCATAATGAATGGGCTTTTACTAAGGGTTGTCTTTGGTGCTTTTTTCGAGATATTATTTTTAAATCAATAGGACTTTGGAAAACATTAAATTGTTTGTTGTATAATTAGTCTAGGAGTCGGAAGATGAATCGAATGTGGTCATGCCGCCATTGTTTTGGATGCGGCCACGTTTGTCCGAACATACAATTGCCGCATGTAATAATTTCTCTCTAAACATGCCACCTATTTTACTGATAATTTTGAAGGAAATTGCCAGTGTTGTTTTCTCATGTTATTCAAAAATCAAATTTTATATAAGTTATACCTAAATTATTCTCCTAGGCAGCATTTTTATTTTGGAAGATCTACATACATGCCACAAATCTCTATATATTTAACATCTAACACTTAAACTTTAAAATTAGCATTTTTAACACTATATCCATGCATGATAAGATTAACTTCACTTCTAAGAAGTTGGTGATTGTGATATTTTTATGATATGAAAAATTTTAGTTTTGTAGATGTAAAAATAACATTTCAGGAGTTAGATGTGTAAATTCTGAAGACGTGTGGTATGTATGTAAATGCCCCTATTTTATGTATTATAGGACTGCTTGTTAGCCTAGCCGAGATCTGAACTTATTTCAGTAACATTTAACCTTTGTACGATTGCCTGTTACGAGACAGATTTTCAGTTTGTTTATAGTTCAACATTCGTTTTGCAGTACATTCCTTTCATAATTTTTTAGTCCATTTCTTTCCTTTACGATATTGCATCTTTTTGCCTCTTTTATTTAATGAAATTGGCTGGTGTGGCCCTCATTTCTCAGAGAGAGAGAGAGAGAGAGAGAGAGAGAGAGGAGGAGGAGGAGAAATAATCACTTTTTTTTGTTCGTGTTCTTAACATTAAAATCATTTTGGGCTTGTAATTTTCTTGCAATCTCTCATAAATTTTGATCTGCTTTAAATTTAAAACCACCATTTTGATGATGATGACTCTACAAACTTTGCCGTGCGAGAAGTCTGTGCTCACACGAAATAACACCCTAACCGGTGTTGCTTATAAGGATGACCCCACAATCTTTGCCTGGGAGCTCATGAATGAGGCCAGATGCCCTTTAGATACTTCTGGAAAAACTTTACAGGTAAAAACTATTTTTTTATTATCTCATTGGCTTTTATGCGCTTCGTTGCTAAACCTTTAATCCTAAAAATGATAACAGTCCAAGAAAAGCTTTTTTCTAAATTTGATCAAGCTTTTCTGTCATACATTTTTTATTGTTATCTCTTAACAAATGTTTCTTATTCTTGTTAACTACCATTACTTTGGCTGAAAATTGATCATTTTTCGTATTTCATGGTCTATACTCAATGCTCATTCAGCTCTTGCTCTTATAATTGCAGGCATGGATCGCTGAAATGTCTGCTCATGTGAAATCCATAGATAGTAATCACTTGCTTGAGGTTGGCTTGGAAGGATTTTATGCGTCCTCATCACCTTCAAAGTTGCCAAAAAATCTTACTGGGTTCCAAGTGGGAACTGACTTCATCTCCAATAATCAGATTTCAAGAATTGATTTCGCCACACTTCATTCATATCCAGATCAATGGTAAAATTATATCCATACTCTAAAAAAATACAATTTTGATGGTGATTAAAAGTATGTGCATGAACACGTAACAAATTGGTTGGAAACAATGTGAAGAATCTCAAAATACTGAGTTTGAGTGATCACCCTATCCAAAAGAATTTGCTGGAGATCTCTATCATTTATTTTTTTCACTTCCGAATTTTAAATGTTTGGCAAGACCTTTCATTAGAAATTTAACACTTTTGTCCGACAATACAATTTCATTGATTTTGTAATAGACCTTTGGGGCATTGTCAGGATTCCAAACTCCAGTGATCATGCTGAACTTCAATTCTCGAACAACTGGCTTGATGCCCACATAAGAGATGCCAACAACATTCTCCATAAGCCGCTTCTTATAGCTGAGTTTGGCAAATCCATGAAGGATCCTGGGTACAACAACTCCAAAAGAGATGCTCTTTTTCAAGCAGTCTACTTTAAAGTCTACCAGTCTGCAAGAAGAGGAGGAGCAGCAGCAGGTTGCCTCTTCTGGCAGCTCCTTGTTGAGGGCATGGACTCGTTAAAAGATGGCTATGAGATTCAAATGAATGAAACTCCGATGACGACAAGAATTATACATAGCCAGTGTGGTCGGCTTCAGCACCTCACAAAATTGTATGCAAAGAAAAGTAGACATTGCAAGGCTAGAGAAGCCAAAGGCCATGAGAAATGCAGCTGATACGCGTTAACAAAATTCAGCTGCGTGATTTTAGGCTGCTGTTAAAGTTGACAGTGATACCGTTTTAAGGTGGCTAATATTTTTCTTTAAGGCATTCAATTCATCTTCTAGAAAATATGATTACTTATTGCTTTTGATTATATGAACAATTGGGATGTTATGTTTTGCTAAGAAATATGTTATCAAGTACAATTGATTTGCGATTCTATAGATTTTGTTACTCTGTTTTGTTGGCTGGTATTTTTTTCAACCTTGTTGATGATAAATAACTGTCTGCTTGAACAATATCTTCCCTTCTAACTCTCCCATTTGCTGCTGGTAAGAATGATTTTTTGGTGATTATGCATGCTTGTCTAAATAATTTCCCTCTAGTTGGCCCATATAGGTTGAAACGTTGAGTTTTGACAGGAGTTTAAGACTTTAAAAAGCAGATCGAAAGACCAGCGAATGCATGAGAGTCAGTAGACAGATCTTTTTTTTAATTGCTTCAAATGACATTGCCCTTATATAGAGAAGTAAAACCAGCAATGAATACATTATTTCTTATGAGGAAAATTAAAAAAAATGAAAAAACACGGGATGCAGCTCAGTTAAAATAACTTATATTAGAGGTAGATATGATTAATAAAAGGTCATACATCCCTGTTTCATAGAAAGCGTCAATATAGAGCAGTTGATACAAGCTATTGTTAGTATCGTAAGTGATGATGACACATGAAAGTTAGAGGGATGGATGGAAGAAGTGATCTTTTGTCTTTTCATAAAGATGAAAATTGTATGCCACAAACAAAAAGTCAAAGTAGTTACTGAGGACGATCGAATCGGACAACCCTTAAAGGTGAAAGCAATACAAAGTATAGGTGAAGGATGATGGAAAAAAGGTAATGTTAAGAGCCATTGAAGATGGTCAAGTTAGTCCACTCTTGTAGGTGAAGAAGACACGAACTGAAGAAAAAGAACAAGGCGATATAAGAAGGTTGATATAGGAAGATTATGGAGGCTATTGAGGATGGTTGTGTTGGTTATTCATGTTGGATGGAATAGGCACTGATGGTTTCAACCGATTCACAATCAAAATGACAATGCGGAAAATAGGAACTTTGATTTGAGAAATCTGAAACAAAAGAAATCGAATAGAAACACAAGAAAGAAATATAAGAAAAACACACCAGAATTTCCCGAGAACGGGGAAAAAATCACGGACCTACACCACACCAAAAAATTCACAATGAATAGAAGAAATGCACAGAAAAACACACTCAAATATTCTCTCTACAATCACTGGAATTTACAGAATATCACTCCAAACCTTCATCTCAATTGCACAAGAGAAAGCCCTCGCTCCGAAATTGCCTCCCCACAATTCACCTTCGCAAAGAAGATGATTGAGAAACATCGCATGTGAGATTATCCTTCCTTGATTTTAATTGAGGGATTAAATTCCCAAACTATAGAGGAAAAACCATCGACATGACCACGCCGATACTCAGTACAAATACTCCATTTGCTTTATCTGCTGCATGATCACAAAAGAAGCGAATGACATACTAACCTCAGTTGCGACACAATCACGTAGCACGGCGTAACTACACTCATTTCAGGCATGGCTATGCCATGTTGCAGGCATTGGAGTTTGGGTGCTAGGTGTTGTAGGCTCCACGCTCCAACGATCTCTCTCACTTGGAGACCGATAGCACTTGACGCATGTCCACTAGATCTGCATCTTTATTTGTACCATCTTCATAGTATTGTATAGTAATGTGGCTCACCCACGGCCTCAACCTTCTTGAATCCCAACTAAAGCCAAATACAACACTAATTTTTCGATAGTCACCACCTTAGCCAGCATGTCCGCAGGATTCTAAGCTATATGTATTTTTTTCCAAAAGCAACTGTCCATCTTCTATGAGAGCAAATAAAGTGATACCTCAACTAGAAATGTTTTGTTTTGCATGAAAAACAACGTTCTTAGCAAGTTAAATAACAATCATATTGCCATTATGAAACTTTCCATCCTCTGCTTTTTGCCTAATTCTATCGTAAAACCCTGTAGCTAATCATCTCCTTGCAAACCTCAGTGATAGTAATATATTCAACCTATGTAGTTGATAGTGTAACAATCTTCTGCAGTTTAGAAACCAAACTCACCGCTATGTTCCCCAAAGTGAATATATACGTTGTTGTACTTCTACTATCCAAATCTCCTAACAGATCTAAATCTACAAATTCCTGCCCTACACTTCCTAATACTTGAGAATCCACTTCATCGCCTCCCAATGATGTCTGACTGTATTACCTATGTACATAATGACCACTCTCACTCCATATGAAATATCCGGTATTGTACAAATCATAACATACATCAGACTTCCAATTGTTGAAGCATAAGGAGTTCTCTGCATCGGTGCTTGCTCTGCTTCAGACTTAAGCGATAATTTCTTAGATAGCTTGAAGTGACTATTTAATGGGATGTAAACAAACTTTACCTCATCCATATTGAACCTCTGTAGTTCTCAACATACTCTACATGATAAAACTTCAATATACCTGCACTCCTGTCTCTGTTGATTCTCATCACAATATTTTTTTTGATTGAACCTAAATCCTTTATCTCAAACTCATTTAATAATTACTAATTAAGTCTCTGATTTTCTTCATATCAGCCCATACAATAACATGTCATCTACATATAAAAGAAACAAGATATATCAATTGTTAAAGTTTTGATGGAGCAACAATAGTCTACCTGACACTACAAGCACCCATTATCTGATATGAACCTGTCAAATCTTCTGTACCATTGTCTTGGGGCTTGTTTTAAGCCATAAAGACTCTTCTTGAATCTACAAACCAAATCTTCTTTCCCTCGAATCTCATAACCCTGTGACTGCACCATGTATAATTTATCCTCCAGATCTCTATGTAAGAAAATTGTTTTTATATCAATCTACTCCAGATGTAGATCTTCATCTACCACCAAACTCATTGTAACTTTGACGATTATCATTTTCACCACAGAAAAAAATATCTCAGTGTAGTCTACTCATTCATTCTACTGAAATCCTTTCACAACAAACATTGCCTTGTAGCATTTGTTACCATCTGACTCTTCTTTCAGCCTATGAACACACTTGTTGTATAGTGCTCTTTTGTCATCTGGTAATACAACCAAATATTAGGTTCAATTTAACTCGAAGGACTGCATTTCATCATCCATAGCAAGCTTAAACTCCTTTGAATCTTCAACTTGAGTGGCCTCCTTATAGCACTTTGGTTTATTACTTTCTATTAACAAAAAATAATACAAAGAAAGAGAATACCTCTGAGTCAGTCAAATAGCTTTGTTGGACCTCCCGACTTCAATAACATGTGACTGAGGAACTTAAAGTGCTTCATCTAATTAAACACTTCTTCTTTTTCTTCCTTCGTGATCATCAGTATCTTCTACCTTACAATATTTGGACTCTTTAGAAGTAATTGATTGGTAATCTTTAGTTTTAATTTTGTTCTTGTATATCTCTATTTTATTGAAAATAAAATTACCGCTCCTGATAAACCTTTGATTCAGATAATCCTAGAATTTGTACCTAAATTCTTTTGAGTCATACTCAATGAAAGTGAACTTGATGGATTTTGAGTCAAGTTTATTTTTTAATCCTACATCAATTTTTATATATGCAGAACACTCAAACACCTTCAAGTAAAATTGATTTATCTCTTTGTCACTCTAGACTTCTTCAGATAAGCCTTCCTTCAAGAGTAATGATGGACTGCGATTGATCAGATACACTGTAATGTTCAATGCTTTTGCCTAGAATTGTTTTGGCAAGTATGTATGCAACCTCATACTTTTGACATGCTCCGTGATGGTTCTGTTCATACGCTCAACAACTTCATTCTGCTATGGAATTCCTGGAACAGTGAACTCATGCATGATCCCCTCTGAAACACAATAATTAATGAATCTTTGATCACGATATCTGCCACTGTCATCTCATCCTATCATCTCATCCGTGACATTTCAGCTCCAAGTCTGTCTCATTTTCTACCACAAATTTTTACTTCTTAAACACTTCAAATATGCTAGATTTTTTGTTTAAGTAAACTCATATCTTTCTGATGTGATCTTTAATAAATGAGATAAAATGGTGGGAATCTTTACTGAACTAAATTGAAGTAGGACACCATACATCAATATACACTAACTTCAATTTCTTTAACTTCAATATTGACCCATTTTTTGAGGAAATAACTTTCTTCTCTTTGTCATTTACATAATCTTCACAGAATCTAAATCTGCGGATTTCAAACCATGAAATTTATTCTTCGAAAGCAGGGACTGCATAGCTTTCTTACTCGTATGGCCAAACATATGGTGGCACAAACCTGGATCCACCTTAGTTCTGACCACATCAATGAAATCCACCATTTCATTGATCCGGTAAAAAGTGCCTTCAATATTGTCCCAAAACCATCAACATTGCCCCATTAGTCATTTTCCACGAGTCACTTGTAAAATTAGTCACGTACCTTGACTTTGTCAGTTGGTTTATAGAGATCAAATTTCTCTTCAAATTAGAAACATGTATGGCTTTACTTAACTTTCAGACTGTTCCATTTGACAACTTGATATTCACATCGCTATTTCCACAATATTACATGCTTTATTGTCTCTCAAATAAACTTTCATCAGATCGCTGAGTATAATTTTTAAACACATGTTTGTTGGGGCATGCATGAAAATATATTCATAAATTTGCTATCCAAGATTCAATACTGATTAAGGCTACACTAGGGAGTCACCTTGGATTTCGCTAGTGGAGGCATTTGAAGAGAGATTCTTTTCGTTTCTTCCACCACCATCCTTCCCTTGAGCTTTACAATCTTTTTTGAAATGTTTTTTTTTTCCCATAGTTCCAACATTCTTCTCTATCATTTCCTATGCTTGACCTAAACTTACCTTTTTTGGACTTGAATTTGTATTTGTCTACATTTATGTCCAAATTCATTACCTTATTTTTAACATTCAATGCAAAACCTGAAGATTTATCATACGTCAACTTTCTGTGAACTTCGTTCTTCAACGCCAACTCTAAAATGTTATGAAAGTTCAACTTCATATTCCCAAAAGTTACTGTCATGACCAAACAATCCCAACTGTTCGACAAGAAAGTCATAATTAATGGTGTTCTGACATCATCATCAAATTTGATCCCACAAAACACAACTAGCTAGTTACAGTGTTAAAATTATTCAAGTGTCCAATCATTGAATTGTCCTCTACAATCTTTATATTTAATAACTTCTTCATCAGAAAAATTTTATTTGAAGCAAAATATTTTTCATATAAAGTAGATAAAAAAATAATATAAGTTCATAACTCATGCCTTAATTTAAAGTGAAGTTCAATCTAATATGTATTTAAGTGCACAATAATCACGACCATTCAAGTTTCCAATCATGTGATTTTCTTCTAAAATATAACATGTTTTCGATTGAGACTTTCTAAATAGCTCATGAAATAAGAAAATTCATTTAGAATGTACATATATTTATTTTGCATACATAAAATTATAGCAAGTGGTATGTCTGAATATGTAAGGTGGATAATATATCATTATATATATATATATAAGCTTATAACTCATGCCTTAATTTGAAGTGAAACTAAATCCAATATATATTACATATTTGTGATCAACAAAAAAAAAAAGGATGCTCCATTTTAACAGCACTTTGAGCACATGAGGTTGGTATCAGAATAAGAGCATAATCTTACATATGTAGTGCATCGAATTTATCTATATATTTTTAAAAGTAATTGATGTCAAATTGAGTGAAAGTCGAAGTCCTTTTCTTTTGCAAGTCTGTCATTTTCCTTTTTTATTTATTATTTTTGTTATTTTAATGAGAGCAGCTAAATGCAAAGAAAAGGGGATCCCAAATATTTTAACACGGAGCGTTGATACAAATGAAAAAATCAAGCAAACCTCTTTGTGGCATTCTACCAAACACTTAACATGCAGTAACTTAATTAGACAATCCACATTAACTTAATAAGATATGATGTTTGTTACAAGATTAAAGACATCCTATGATAGAATAGAGATTAAGTTTGTGCGTCCATGAAAATATCTTGGTAGGCATAATGTACATTCCATTTAAATAAATACTCTAATTCCCTATCTGCTAGCATTTTATGAACAACCCACATAAAAATATGGAATAAATCATGAATCAGTAAAATCTAACAAGCAGTAACCAACAGCATCCAAGGATAGCAAATCTAGCAAGAAGTAGAGCAGGTAAAGCTTTGAAGGAAGAAATAGTAAGAAAGGGAAAATGGAAAGAGAATTTTGGCTTACTTTGGCTACTACTGGGCAAGAATCACAGCAAAAACAAGAAAATGTGTTGAATGAGTTCTTCATTCATGGCATGGGCGACGGCCTGAGTTGTGCCTCGGAGTCAGAGAAGAAGGGAAATGGGGTGTGCGAGGAGCTGCTGCAATCTGGCAAGGCAGAGGAGTTCACGCGATAGGGGAACTGGACGAAGAACAAGTATAGGAGATGGGTACTGTGTGTGGCGAAGAGCTATGAGGGGGTCGGTAGTATCGCCCCAAGGTGAAGTGAAGGTGACGGTGAAGGTGAAGGTGAAGGTGGACGACAAATAAGTATCAATTTGAGTTGAGGGTTTATATATATGTAAATATTATATGGCACATGGATGCTGTGGAGGGCTATTTTGGTAATAATAGCCGAACATTCTTGATGATAGCTAACCACAGCCTGCGAGGCAACTCCGAAGAGGCGCAGGAAGCTGACGATGGCTCTGATACTCTCCACTACCTTCGTCCCAAGCATCAAGGCAAGCTCCACCAAATTCCGAAATAACTTCAAGGTACGTATGTTCTAGTTCTTCCAGGTTCAAGGAAACCCTAGATATTTCCACAGTATGATTGCTCTAAACGCCATAATTGTACTCAGGCGGTGGTGCCTAGCGGCAGATTTAGGCGGTGGAGCTGTCGGAAGGAGGGAGTACATCCTGAGTTCTACGAGAATGCTAAGGTGTACTGCAACGGCGAGCTGGTGATGACGACTGGGGGTACGCAGAAAGAGTATACCGTGGACGTGTGGTCGGGTAATCATCCTTTCTACTTGGGCAGCCGCTCCGGTCTCGTCGTTGATGACGACCAGGTGGAGAAGTTCCGGAAGAAGTTCGGTCAGCTATCTGAGCTCATGGAGATTCCTGTCCTCAAGGGTGAAATTGTTCTGCCACAGAAGAAGAAGGCTGCTTCCAGCAAGGGTAAAGGCAAAAAGTAAAACGTAGCAACTAGGCCTCGTTATTTTTTATTTAGCACTGTTTCGTTTATCTCCTTTCACTCTGCAATGCCTAATGAAATTATTCATGCGAGGTAGAGAAAAGAGATAATGCCTTATGCGTTTGATTAAATACCAATTTGCAGTGCATTATCTGGAATTGTGTTTTTTTGATTCGGAAACTTAGGCAATGGCGATAAACTGACGAAGTTTTAGCATCAGTTGCTGAGCTAATCGTTTGTTTCTGATGTGCATATGCCACTCTGAGGAAGCAATGGTATATAAAGATGGTTTTTTTTATTCTTTAGAATTATCATGTTCTACTTCTACCTGGTTGTGATTTGCGTTCTTATTTAATTGAGTTAAATAAAATTAGAGTGAAAAAAGCGAGATGTTATACATTTCTTAGCTGATTTGATCATGTACTTTCTGATCTCAGTTATTGAGCCCTTATTTTGTTGGGTCATTTGTGAGAGTAAATGTATGTCATTAGAAATGACATTTGTTAATGAGAAGACTGTGGAATTACATTTCAAGTTGGTGAGAGTAAATGTAGATCATTAGAACTGATATTTGCTGATTAAAATGCTTTGTGAGGTTATATTTGAAAATTCAGCAGAATTTCCTTTGCCTTGTTTCTTACATTGTATTATTGTTTGGGGAATTACAATGAGAGTCATTCTTAATTTGTGCTTTTATGTAATTAATTTTATTTTCTAATAGATTTCTTATTCAAATAGCTTTGATTATCGTTGTGATTATTCAAAAGTCTTCAGAATGTAACTAATGTTTGATTATCCTTACGTAAGGCTGCTAATAGGGCTCATTAATGCATGGGCTTCAATTTAGGAGGTGAGTAGATAATATTTTTGTTTTCTCGCATGCCTTCATGAAGGTTCACGGCAAGTGAGCCTTGGAGCACATGTACTGTCAGATAGAGTGTTCTCTAAAAATCACTGGAAGTGCTCACGGGTGCACAAGCTTTGTTTGTGTCGTTGAGAAGATAGCTTAGTTTTCTATTCAAAAGTTTCCTTGAATGAGTCTCATATGGCATTTATTCTTAGATTGAGTTTTCACTAAAAGCATTTGAGAGGGTTCATCAATTGTTGAAAGATCTAATTCAAAATTCAAAATTCAAATTATAATATTTATTGTTTTATCTTTTCTACAGATATTATTCTTCTTTCTTATTTTTATCTTGCTTAATTAGTCTTGGAATGTAATAGGAATTTCTTTGAATTTATTTAGTTAGTTTTCTTATCTAAGGAGGAGAGACTCATATATGTAAATGCACCTTGAATAGAATCATTAAGAAGAAATAAAATTTTCTATTCAATTTCTGGTTTTATGGTATCAAAGCGGGATATAAAATTCTGAAAAAAAAAACTCTAGTCTTCGTAGCCACTCCTCCCTTCCGCAAGCCGCGATCGATCCCGCAAGCCGCGATCCTTCTACCGCAATTCGCGATCCTTTCTGCAGTCCGCGATCTTTCTACCGCGAGTCGCGATCCCGTCGAACCTTCGGTCTATATCCGATTCTTACTTCCTGAGCCGCAGGGACTTCTTCCGTCACTTGCAAAGCCGAACCATCTCTTCTTTTTTACCATGTCTGAAAATACAAATGATTCCACCCTGTCATCAGCACCACCCTCCTTTAGAACCACCGAAAATCACCCGGCCCAGATCACCACAATCCGTCTCAATGGTGATAATTATCTACACTGGTCACAATCGGTGAAGATGTACATTAGAGGAAGAGAGAAGATAGGCTACCTAACAGGGGAAGTCTGTAAGCCAGTCACTACAGATCCATCCTACGCAACCTGGGATGCAGAAAATTCCATGATAATGACATGGTTGGTGAACTCTATGGAAGAAGAGATAGACGCAAACTACATGTGTTACTCCACTGTCAAAGAACTCTGGGAGAGTGTGGCCCAAATGTATTCGGACACGGGTAACCAATCTCAAGTTTATGAACTTTCCCTGAAACTTGGTGACATTCGTCAAGGTAATGACTCTGTCACAAAATACTTTAATTCTTTAAAAAGAATATGGCAAGATCTTGACCTGTTCAATGATCAAGAGTAGAAGTGTCCTGATGATGCTAGTAGGTATAAGAACATTGTTGATGCAAATAGAAAATTTAAATTCCTTGCTGGACTTATTGAGGAGTTTGATGAGGTTAGGGGCAGAATTATAGGAAGAAGTCCCATGCCTTCAATCCATGAGGCTTTCTCAGAAGTTCGCCGCGAAGAAACTCGAAGAGGAGTGATGCTCAACAAGAAATCCATTCCTACCAGCATACCCGAGATTTTGGCATTCCAATCGGAGGCTCATATCAGCAAGGGGACTGTTCCATATTCAAGGAGGAGAACCCCCGGGTATGGTGTGATCATTGCAGCAAGCCACGACACACTAAAAAAACCTGCTGGTACCTCCACGGTAAACCGACAGACTGGAAGCCAAGAAACAAGCGCAATCCACCTACTGCTAATGTTGTTGCCGAACAAACCAACCCATTTAACAAAGAGCAAATCGATCAACTCCTGAAACTGCTAAACCCCAGTTTGGCTACTGGTACCTCAACTTGTTCAATGGTACGTGCAGGTAGACAACTAAACCCTTGGATTATTGATTCAGGAGCTTCTGATCATATAACAAATTTACATCAACATAAGCATATATTGAGTAGATAAGTAAACTGGATCTCCGCCTATTAAAAGCATAATGAATTGAGTTGATCTGTGATATATGCAACAATACTTGTGCAATTTGCTCAGCTGCTTTACTCCCTAATCCAACCTGTTGCCCTAATCAGCCCAATCAGCTTGGATATCTCTCCCTTTCTGACTTCATTTGTTGCCTTAGGTTCTGATTTATATGATGCAAAAGCTAGGGCATAACATACCTCTCCCTCTCCCTCCCCCCCCCCCCCCCCATA